ACTTCTGCAGGAAACAATGGGCTTGAAACTGAGTACCACTGACATGGATCAGAGCACTCTGATGGACGCCTACACTGTTGGCTTTGGAATTTCTATGGTGCATTATGAAATGAGCAGCATGGAGGTACAGCAGTTACTACTTTCGCCTTACAGCAAGGACGTCCTGGGTTCAAATCCAGTCTGTGTTGTTTCCAACAGTGCAAAGTCATTTTTGGGTTTAGGTTAACTAGTTTCATTTTAAACTGACTGCATGTGTCAAGAATGTGTGTAAAATGTGAGTGTGGATGGCTGACTACTCTGTGACAGACTGGTAACCTGCCCAGGATGTACTCTCACTCTATGATAGCTGGGCCCCGAATTGTATAAGCGGAAGAAATTAGATTTATAAAAACTGCAGAATAATAAAACGTTTCTTTAAGACGTCCCTGATAATGCAGGCAGATTCTCTGTGGGATGCACTGTATGCTCAGCTGTGACGCTGCACCAGGAAACCCTCAAAGCTGTTATCTGAAGTGGTACTCTCGAGTTGTTTCATAGCAACAAGCCATGGGACCAACACGCACTGAAATGGGAATGCAAAAGCAAACACCTACCAGTGCTTGTCAGATACAATGGTACCGTGTTACCAACCATAACTACAGCTATGAAGGAACTTCTATCTGTCATGTCAGAAACATCTGAAGCATTTCTCTGACATTTAAGCACAGAGCAGAGTTGTGAAGCAGCTGACAAACTACATGTAACACATCTCACCAACATGTCCTGAGATCTGTCAGTGGATATACCATTGATTTAGTATTTAAAAACTACTACTATACTATACTAATACATGTTTCTGGTAGATTATTTTGCACTGAAAGGACCCAAACCCAGACTTTGTATTTGTGGTTACACACCATCATAGTTAATGAGCTCTATCTGATGTTACACCTCATGTCCAACCTGCAGCATTACCACCACCATCACCAGCCTCTGACAATGACCATGATGATGCCGGGCCTGACGGAGGAAGAGTGCCAGCGTTACCAAGAGCTGTTAGAGATCAAATATCAGTATGAGAGACATTTGGAAAGACGCCGGAGAGAGCTGGAAAAGGAAACCACTGAAGCAGAAGTTAAAGGCCGAGAGGACGGGGACAAGGCAGCAGAGGAAGCTGAAGGCACAGCTTCTGAATCGGTAGTGGACGTGGACAGCAAAGAGATGCCAAGTGAGCACGAGTTGGCGTTGATCGAGGAGGAGCTGCGCCACCTGGAGTTTAAGTGCCGCAACATTCTCCGAGCGCAAAAGATGCAGCAGCT